TGGCCTCTGTTATGGCTCGATGGCGCCACAGTAAAGGCATTCCGAAACTTTCTTTGGTTTTTTGTTGAGAACAGTAATAAATTGAGTGTCAGAAAACTCTTGTCAGAATCAAAACTAAACGATCCCATAAACGAGAAACGGCTTGATCAGCTACACATCAACCAAATTGGCGGTATGTTTGGTTCTACGCGTGAGGTCCCGGATTCGACCCCCAGTTTGGACGATAAATTGGCAATACTGCTGGTGAAACCAAATCTGGGCAGTACTTTTTAGCTTTCCAGGTCACGCTTCATTTGTTCCATACACAACGAAATTCACTACACAATAAAAGAAAAACCTGCGTGACAAAATAATCTCGGAGGAGCATAGTGTGTTGGTGATCAGTGCACAAATCCGCACGCACAGACCTCGGACTGTTGATTCACACAACGTGGGTAGGTAAGAAAAAAAGAGTATGGCGGCTGCGGCCAGCGATGCAGCGGTACAACTCACCTTTAGCATTTCGGCTGCTTCACGTCGTCTTTGAGCTACTCGATCGCTCTCTTGCAAGAGCATATCATACTCGTCCTGGCGATAGAGCTTGCTCACCAGTTCCGACTGAAGGTTGTCTTTGACGAAATTCACCAGGAAATGCATAATTGCTTTCGGAACCGTGTCCTGGATATTCTTGCGGACAATCAAAAAGTAAGATCGGATGAGGCGACCTGGAAAGTGGAGAAAAGAAAACAAACAGTCAATCCTGGTGTGAAAATAAAATGTGATGATCAGAATGCAAGATTGTCAGAAAAATAGATGACTCGAACGAGACAGAACCAAACAACAACTATACGATCGGGAGATGAGTACGTTTCACCATTTTGAAACGAGGTTGCGATGAACAGTTAGCAGCAACTTTCGGCTAGAAAACTGCTCAAACAAGTAGACGGTTTCCGCCGACATTGATTGGCCAACAAAATCAATTGTTGGATAGTTAACTGGGCATCGAGGTATACTGGGCACCTTGGTCGTTTGACCCTGTACGAAGGGCGTATGATCCGATGAACTGGACACCAGCCCCCAGTTTACAAACCGCCCCGCTGCCTTGCGGGTCAGGCTTTGGTTAGCCGAGGGCTCCGGCTGTGGATTCCTCGCGAGATTTCATCTACCTTGGCCTGGGCCACCTTGGAGTATTCGGCCTACATGCAAATCGTGGGACGTTTTTCTTTTTATAAAGATTATTTTAGCACGATTTGTTGGGCACATAGTCCGGCCTCAGACGGATGTGTTATAATAATAATAAAAAAGGTATGGTGAGAAAACACTAGACTGTTTTTGAATCCGGTGTTCAGTCTTTTTGTAGTAATTAACAGACAGATGTGTACACAACCAATTCTACCAAAGGAAGGAAGTGGTCACCGGATACAATGGAGCAGGAAGGGAGGCTGCGATGAAATTCGAACACACGCTACCAAAGTTGGTCTTCCACATCGGCTGACTAAGTCCCAAAGGCTTTGTACAACACATTACTACCGTAAACAGTTTTTATCATGTGACTTATCTGGATGATCAAACCGAAGGTTTTATTTAGTGCCAATGCAATTCAACTTGATTTGTTCCATGAAACACACCAGAGGCATGTGAATCGTTCCACTTAGTCTCAATTTTAAAGAAACTGACGGTCAAATCGATGGAAAAACCGATTATTCATTTGACTGTGGTACATACGATGGTCTGATGGGGGACTTTTGGTGCAATCATTTGTGAGTAATCACTCCAAAAACGTTATTGGTTTCACCGGAGAAAAAATGCGCATGAACGCTGCTAAATTTGCGCAAGCACAAATCATAATCTCAGATGGAACAGATTGACAGTATGGGAGAAATCAGATCAGATGAAGAGAGTAACCCGATAGATGGACACTACTCACCAATGACCTCACAGTCGTGTCGCTCATTCGGTGTCAGTTTGTGTTGTTGCACTTCCGTTTGCTGTAAAACGAGGAGGAACCAAACACGAATGAGCGAAGTGTCCAAATCATAAAACTCGTGTGTGTCAACCTGTTTAATCTCAGTTAATCTGACAGATGTAGCTGAAACCTAAAAGGCGCACGTGGCTACGCATACAAGGAGAGACACGAGAGTGTATGTACACAAGCAAACAAACAAAGAAATGACAATTCGTGACCGACACACCACAATAGCAATAGGTGTTGTCACGGAATCGGAATCGATAGCAGGCTGGGGTCATTCGAGTGGTATGACTATACAAACTCGATTTGAAACGAATCGATTCATTTCGTCACAAATTCCGATCCCACATCCATCACCGAAGATTTCTGGCGAATGGAAACACTGTGGTGCATTGTTCTGTGGATTCTCAGAACACAGGTATGCATTCCATGTGCAAACACGTATTCACACATCCAACCGACTAGATAAATGTTTGTGAATTTGGAGGGCGAGAGAAAGACCTCGGGATCGACAGCGATCCATCAGTTGATTAGCAGCGGCTATAAATACAAGGATGGAAAATCATTGCAAACGTAACGCTCATATTAATTCGTGTTTAAGAGTGCGAGTCACGATAGGATCACATAACGTCAGGTCAAGTTAAGGATCGTTTTCTGTTCACCGAAAAGGATTAACACTCAATAGTTTTTTTACAGTGGAATTATATCGATAGAAAAAGATCGAAACAGAAATAAATGCGACAGTATGGTGCAGAAAAAAGTCAATGCAGCGGCTTTTCGTTATGGCATGTGGAAATTGTGGTGCGGTCAACTAAGAGAGAGAATAACACTGTTTCGGCATGAGGGTGTATGAGTAGATAATAGCGGCGGAAATTTCAAGTGCGCTCGGGGATTCGAGAAAGAGAGCTTTCTCTGCTTTTTCATGATGCACAGTGCTCGCCGTCTCGAGTTCGAACTATACGCAAACCTATCCGATGCGTCAAAATGGTCGGAAACAAAATTTGAAACAAAAAAACGCAACAAAACCAGACTGACCGGTGCTACAGCTAGTTTCCCTGGTCTGTGTGCATAAAAAAACAGGTTTCCTACATTGGTGAAGTCGTTTTCAACGTTACATTTAAAGTTTGCACGAAAGATCAAATATGGGTGGCCAAAAGGCAATTCGGAAAAGTGAATTCACACTCCAAACCTCGTGCATTGAATATGAACGTGTCACAACAGTGACGCTTGATTCAACTGCTCGCATCACGCGGTTACACAACTACTCACGGGCAAAGAAATGTTTAGGCTAGGAATTTGTATAGGATTCCAAAAGGCAGTGAACGCGAAAACTGCTTGCCCACAAAGCCTAGGGTTCTAGTGAATTGTCTAGTTCAATTTGTGGTCAAAAATGGAGCGTGATGACCAGTGGACGGGTGAACCCCATTGTTCACCGTGTCCACGTGTTGGATCAAAGGAATCATTCACAAATTCCAGATCATATATATATATATATATATATATATATATATATATATATATATATATA